TGGGAAGGACCTACAAGATCATCTAGTCTAACCATCAAATTAGAGGATAATGCAGTTTTTGCTTAGTGGTGATGAGTACAAACAGCAAGAACAGAAAAGTTGTAAAGAAAAGGAGGCAGCTGCAACCAAAAGGGCTCATTTGGAGTGAGTACTCCAAATATCATGTTTCTGACTGTAACCATGTGTTGTCTTATAAGATGGTAACATTGCAGATTTTATTCTGCAGGCTTTTTACATTGTTTGACCTGCCCCTTTTTTTCTCTAACTTTCTATTTGTCTTCCTGATTTCATCTGTTAACTTCAAATAAAACATTTAAAAATATTAATTTCAAATCTATTTGGGCATGCAGTATCTTTTGAAGACTATTCAAAAGATTTGTATAATTCCTAAAATGACAAGGTTGTTTGGGTAGTCGTTCTGATCACCTGCTAAAAAGGAAGTGTTAGTTCATTGTAGAACATACACAAAAGTTTCACTTTTTATGTGCGTTTACCAAGAAAATTTTAGCTTGTTGGATTTCCATTTTTTAAAGAAGGTAATATTGTAGACCCTGACCATTCACTTGTGTTACTAACCAACTTGCAGAGATGTTTTCATGATTACAAACAGAATACAAATTTAAAACAGCTACAAATTACAATAGCTATAAATTTAGAAATGAAACTTTTAGGTGCCCATGTCCTTCAGATGCTGAAAGAACTAGATATAATTGTGGTATATATCAATCAGATAAACTATCAAATAGCTTTAAGCAATATAAAAAAATATATTTCTTGTGATCTATTTTTAAGCTAAAGAATTTAAACTTTATTTTTATTTCCATTTCCCACTCTAATCTTTAGAAAAGTTATTACAATTAATTTAATGATGAATAATTAAATATTTTTGTCTCCTTTTGAGGATTAGAATGTTTATCTCGCTTATTACTGCATATCTGAATCTAAGCAATCTGAGTAATTTTTCATCTAAAGTGGTAAAAATTGAGTTGATTTAAGTCAACATGTCCCATCAGCACAGGTAGGCTGTTAGGCAGTCAGAACTGGATGTTATTATTTCGTTTTGTAAGTATGAAGTAGAAATACTTTATCTCCTGCTACAGCGAAATATCCTCACTAGTTGTAGTGTGTGTTTTTCCTTTCACACTACTGCTAGCCAGAACTAATTTTTGGCTTTATCTTAAATAAAATAAATAAAAAAACTAACAAGCTTTTGTGGGAATACTCTCATATTGTTCTGTAAGGAGGCAAGGATATCCATGTAACAGATACGGTACAATTCTTTGATCATGTATTTTATAATTGGAATATGCTGGAATCCACAGGAAAGAATAGTTGTTGCAACACCAGATCAAGATTCCTGCATTACTGCCATGATGCAATCTCCTAAGATCTTGTTTAGAACTTTGGTATTTCTGCATCCTCTCTGTAAAAGCTACAAGCATTTGTACAGTGGCTTTCCTGCTTATGACTTTTTGTAATACAGTAGTTTTTCTAAGCCACTGAGATCCAACAGAATAATTTCGCTTAATGCTAGCAATCAAAATCAGAACCAGAGAATGAGAGCCATTGAAGAATTCTGTGCATTAAATAAATATTTTTCTGGGGAAAAGGGGATCTTTTGTATTTTTAGTTCAGGGTTCTCATCAGTCATGTGTCTTGCATTACCTTTCATTAAGTATCTTCTTGACTTTTTTATTGCTGTTTTAACCAATCAGGAGCAAATTTGGCATGTAGTTTGTTTACTGCTTAACAATGAAGACCACTCAACAACTAAAAAGTTTGTGCTAGACTTTAGGCTTCAGAGAAAATCTCCTGCTTAATTTTTTTTAAATTTCTTTAAAGCGAAGTTCCAGGGTCCAGACTAAAAAGGAGATGTGTGTCGTCTGAGATTTTAGATCTTGTAAAGATTAATTTATAAGTCTTTTGTTGCTTTGTCTCTAAATGGTGTCACTAGCCTGTGGACTGTAGGCCTAGACTATGTTGCTGATTTATTTTGTTTTGTTTTTAAATGTGGGAATTGCTTTAGGCACTTATGTTAATATTCATATTTTCTGAATTAGTGTCGTATTGTTACAGCATTCTATTGGAAGAAGATATAGTTTTCATGCAATTTACTCAAATTAGGAAGAAAGAATGAGTAAAGATGAGTATGAAAACTGACATAAAACCTACATTTTAAATAAAGCCAGACAAAACTGATAGTTGCTATACAACCACACTTTCTCTTCCTTTTCTGCACCCCCATTTACTTGACGGTGATGCTCTTTTAGTACTCCCGATGTCCTTGAAGTTCAGAATTTTGGTAGAAATAATTACTCATTGTACACAGGGACAGGTTTTTTTTCTTCTGATCACTGGCAAATCAAGTCAGTCTCTTATTCATCAGCTCCCTTTAAGAAAAAACCATTTCTTTTTCCTGTGAACTTCTAGATCAGGTGACTACTAGAGCATAGACTCAGGCTCAGAAAATCTCTAACACTGATGTCCCCTAAAAAGAAAAAAAAGTTTGTTCTAGTCTGTACCACAAACACATACTTAATTCATCTAGTGGCTATTTTTGCACTCTTGTTTTGGTTCCCGTGCTATATTTGTAGCCCTGTTCTTGGTAGCTCTCAGATTTAGATTGCTGATGGGTAGTAAAATAGTGTTTTTACATTTGAATGTAATATAGTAGCTTATGGGGTACTGACGTTATTAAAAGTTGGAGAGTTCCAAGAAAAGACTTCAAATAATAGTTTATCTCTACAGGAAGTCTCAGGTTGGTTGTTCTAGCTTCCAGTTTTCCAGTGGGCTGTAGTTAATATTGCATCTCAGCACAATGATAGAGACTACGTAACTTGAAAAAGCATATTCACTACCTGATTGAATTTACAGATCAAATTGTCTGTGTTTTCTTCTTTCTACAAATTCAATATTTTTTTTCTTTAGCATGTAGTATAGCATAAAATTCAGAAACCTGAGTAGATCTCAGTTCTATGCTTAAATATCTATGCTCCTAAATAGGAAATAATTAGAGCAATTATAGCCTGTTATAATGACAGTGTGCAGTATCCCAGTTATATTATCATAATTTTCATAGTTTTTCCTTTTGAATTCAGAAATAATTATCTTCTGTAAAAGATCTCCTGTATCTTTTCTGTAAAATTTTGAATTCAGTACATTTGACTTCAGTGTTTAACACTAATGCATTGTGTGTTTTATAATTGAATGAGTACTTGCTAGCTTCTGACAGATGACACTGACAGCTGGTCTTTAACCATGTGAACAGTGATAATGCTGCATCTGGTCTGTAATCCCAAGCTTTTTTACTTAATGAGCAGGATGCAAGATTTTCACTTCACTGTAGTGAAGTTAGAAATTTATGAGGAAAGAGAAATACTTGACACACTGATGGTTACAAAGGCACAAGGAAAAATAAAAATAAATAAATTGGCCAGCCAACCACATCCTCAGAAAACTCTTTCTGCAAGCATTTGTGAATTTATCAAGCTTCCATTTCTAAGCAGTTCTAGTTCAGAATTTTGCTTTTCTTCATCTAGTGCTCAGCCATCAACTTACAAACCCTTAAGTGTTTGAGTGAATCAAAGTGATAGCAACTGTAAACATCTTCTGGAATACTTCAGTGTATTTTAAGATATGGCCTGGATTACATTTTTTAGCTAAAATATTTTTTTTAATTTCATTTATACTCATTAATTACTATTATGTTTTCCAGTGGGCTGTCATTGATATGGCTTCTCAGCGCAATGATAGAAACTATGTAACTTGAGAAAGCATATTCACTACCTGACTGAAATGTAAAAGTAACTTGAATTTACAGATCAAATTATCTGTGATTTCTTCTTCCTATAAATTCAGTATTTTTTTCTTTAGCATGTAGTATAGCATAAAACTCAGAAACCTGAGTAGATTAGCATTTAATCTCCTACATCTGCATGATGCTGTAGCCCTATACAGAAAACTATTGCATCTAAATTCACGTCACTTAACAGATAAGAGTCCTTTCCAGTAATTACTTGCTAATTGTTTCAGTAACATGAACTTTATATCCAGCGGAATTCAAATAGCTTAGAGCTACTTGTCAGAATCACAGAAT